CCACCCACCCACCCACCCACCCACCCACCCACCCACCTACCTATCACACTTTTTCTCTTAGAATTTTGAGATATATCTGATGGACCTTATTTGGTGGGATTGGTTTATCATGAAATATAAATCAAATAGTATTTATCTTTTAAAGCTTAACGTTCCTTCCAGACTCGCTCCCCCATCTCCTCAAATTTATAATGATGGAATGGTTCCATTTCACCATAATGATTCTTCACCATTGCCATCACCATCCAATTTTGTGACAGAAAAAATTGGCAGGAATACAGTAGCTACATTTTGAAAAGAAAATGTGATTTCAAAATTCTAATAGTTAAGCTTACTTCCAGAAACCAATTTGATCCATAATCTATGTTATACTATATTTCACTGTATAATCTGAAATCCAGGGCCCATATTGGGGACACAGTAAATAGACATTTAGTGAATTTTTCTTGCCTTCTTTAAAATAGATGAACATTTATTAAATAATGATTTTTCATTGATCTGAACCCCCCCTCCCACTAAAACAGGCAATAGATCAAGATGCAGAAGAACCCAATAACATTGTGGACTACGCCATTATGCAGACTGATCCGGCCGATGTGTTTGATATTGATCAAAGCTCTGGAGAAATTAAATTGAAATCTTACATACGATCCTTGGACGTCATTCACAACATCACCAAGAACAAAGATTGCATTTGGTCAGTGATCATCCAAGCGAAGGATCGAGGGTCTCCATCGTTTAGCACCACAGCTGTTCTGAAACTTGGCATCAGAGAAGAGGTAAGAAGAGAAAATTGATGAAACAAGTGTGCAATTAAGGGAGATGGCTGAAAAACAACAGAGTGTCTATTAACTGCAGTTGGGCAACACCTTGTAGTATAATCCAATGGAAACTTTTTATAGGGGACAACCAAGCTAAGCCCAAGGGAGGAGGTCAAATGCATCATCAGTCATGAGTTCCTGTATGCCCACAAGAGATCTGAGTCCAGCCCACCTTGAATGCCTTTCTTATCTTGACCATTGGCTCTCTTGAATTGGGGGTTCTCTTTGGGGAGGAGAACTGGAATCAGCTCTATTCCTGGACACATGATTGCTCTAACTAGGTAGGCCTTTGCTTAGATTTAGTTGGTTCACAAAACTAGAACCTGGACTAGCCCTCCTGTTTTGATGCTAGCAATGCCATCACCCGACTGCGGATAACAGTTTCTCAGTGTGAAATTGTGGTTCCAGCCCCATCCTTTCTGTCTTGTTTCACATGTTTACACCTAATTACAAATTCTACCTATTAGTGCTTCTATTATGGCCTTGAAACCCCTAAAATGTTGTAAACCCAAAGTAACTGAAAGACTGACTTCCTCTAAGCCACCCATTAAAATATTGCAAGGGAAACCCAAACTGCTTCAGTTTGAAAGGTGGCTGAAAATGGCTGATTGAAGACTCTTAAAAACATTGGGGCCATCAGAACTATAAATTCCCTCTCTTGAGTCCAACTAAACTCTTCTCTTTCCTCACTAATTCTGGAGTAAAAACTAGAAATACACACTCCAGGAGCAAAATTTGGGTTATGAACTTATTTTCTATCTTAATTTTTTCTATAATCTGATTTTTAAAACTGGTTCTCTGTTTGTTTCCTTTCTCTCCGTTTATTCAGTATTACATTTTTGCATCTCTAATAGTTGTTTTTAATTGAAGAAGTAGCTTATTAATCTTATTAAGTAACCAACACATTAATGTAGATAAAATAGGATAATTACAATATAGACAAGAATTTTGAATGGACACCAAAAAGGCTAGGTAATATATGGGTGTTTGTTGAAATGCATTTAAGTTATATGTAAGTTTTCATCCTATATGGGATCCATAGGCCACAGTTTCTTTGTGGTGGGTAAAAAAAACCTGTCAGTTTTTTCAAAAATGTGTTGATACAGCAAATGTGAAGGTACCTGAGAAGATATCTCTCATATATCTGCAGTCTGACATTCCCAACAACCAAAGCAACGAAGATGAATGACAGAGAACATTTGAAAGAGATTTCAGTAGGAAGGGGCTACCTCTCTCTCTCTGATCCTTGGTTTATACAAAATAGCCTTTTCATTCCTCCTAGCAGAAAACATATAAAACTGTAGATATTTATGACAAGAATGCTCTTGTCTTCCATTCCATGGGATACATTCCATTTTTATATATTCTATTTATTATCCGTAGGTTGACACAAGGTTAGTCTGATGTCAGCAACTGAGGTGTTGACAGAGTTTTCAAGATAGCAAATCAGATTTAATAAATGAGCAATAAAACATGCCTTCCACTCAAACATTAGTCGTTTATAATCCATGGTTGAGCTGATGAGTTCGTCACCTTATCTTTTTCTGCTGTTTTAGTGATAACATCAAAAATTTCCTTTTTTATGGATTGAGCAAAGTCTCAATGGAGGAAACGTAGGTCATAAACCTTTGTTTATTATGCCAGAGGAATTGGGCAGCATTGTTATCAGAAGAGAGGAATCATTATTTGCATGGCCGTGGGGGCCCAGCAGTTGGAATGCAGCATTGCAGGCTAATTCTGCCCATTGCCAGCAGTTTGATCCCTTAACAGAACTTTAACAGATTAACAGAGTTGGAAAGGACCTTATAGGTCATCAGTCCAACTCCTCGCTCAAGCAGGGGGTTAGACTACACCATTTCTGACAAATGGCAGTCCAATCTCTTCTTGAAAGTCTCAAGTGATGGAGTTCCCACAACTTCTAAAGGAAAGTTGTTCCATGGGTTGATTGTTCTGTCAGAAAGTTCCTCCTTATTTCTAGGTTGAATCTCTCCTTGGTCAGTTTCCATCCATTATTCCTTGTCTGACCTTTGGGTGCTTTGGAAAATAGCTTGACCCCTTCCTCTCTGTGGCAATCCCTAAAATATTGGAAGATGGCTATCATGTCTCCCCTGGTCCTTCTCTTCATCAGACTAGCCATACCTAGCTCTTGTAATCATTCTTCATATGTTTTAGTCTCCAGTTCCTTAATCATCCTGGTTGCTCTTCTTTGCACTTTTTCTAGAATCTCAACATCTTTTTTATAGTATGGTGATCAAAACTGGATGCAGTACCCTACGTGTGGTCTTACTAAGGCTTTATAGAGTGGTATTAGTAGCTCACGTGCTCTTGATTGTTTCCCTCTGTTAATGCAGCTTAGGATTGCATTGGCTTTTTTGGCTGTTGCTCCACACTGCTCCCTCACATTTAGCTGGTTGTCCACTAAGACTCCAGGATCCCTCTCACAACCACTGCTATTAAGCCTGGTTTCACCCAGTTTGTATTTGTACGTTTGGTTTTTTCTTGCTTACGTGTAAGACTTCACTTTTCTCTCAATTGAATTTCATTTTCTTAGATAGAGCCCAGTGTTCAATTCTCTCTGGATCTTGAGCCTATCTTCTAGGGCCGTGATGGTGAACCTATGGCACACATGCCACAGGTGGCATATGGAGCCATATTTGCCAACATGGCATCCCTCTGCTCCAGCGTGCATTTGCATGGGGGCCAGCTGATTTTCAGCCTTCCAGAGGGCTGGGGGAGGCCGTTTTCTCCCTCCCCAGGCTTCAGGAAAGCCTCCGGAGCCTGGGGAGGGTGAAAACTCCCCCCATGTGGGGGGGGGTCATGTGCACATGTGCAGTGGGTCACATGTGCATACGCAGGGGGAGGGGCACATGTGCATATGCAATAGTGCAAGCACACACAATTTTGGCACACCTTTAGAAAAGGGTTAACCATCACAGTTCTAGGGTTTTAGCTATTCCTGCCAGCTTAGTATCATCTGCAAATTTGGTAAGTTCCCCTTCTATTCCCTCATCTCAGTTGTTTATGAAGATATTGAAGAGTACTGGGCCTAAGACAGAACCTTGTGGTACTCCACTGCTTATTTCTCTCCGTGTAGACTTAAACCCATTAAAGATTACTCGTTGAGTATAATTTGTCAGCCAGTTGCAAATCCATCTGGTGGTGAAGCTATCTATCCCACTTTTTTCTAGCTTACCAAGAAGTAGGTTGTGGTCTACTTTGTCAAGTGCCTTGCTGAAAACTAAGTATATTTTGTCACAGTACTTCACTGATCTACTAATTTAGTCACTATGTTGAAGAATGAAAGAAGATTGATTTAACATGATCAAGGTGCAAAAGTTCACAGCCTGCTGCAGAACTTTGTTGGTGGATATGATTTATGACACAGACTGAGGGGAGGGGAGACATAGGGGTAAAGTTCAGATTCCATTAACTGGAAATCAGATTTGGCTCCACAGAAGAATATGCCAAAATGTTGCTCCTAATAAATGACTGTATTTCTTTTGAACTTTGTCTCGAGGCAAAGTTTGGGAACTTCACAGAGAGCCAAATCTGACTTTAAAAATCTATCAAGATTTCCGGGTTTCCTGAATCCAATCTCTTCCCGATATTTGGGGTGCTTGGAGGGAAAATCAGGCAACCATGGCAGAAGGCGGATTATCCGAAGAAAGCCTGATTGCAGCTGAAGGAGTGCGGCCAGCTCCAGACATCAAAGCTACAGACATCAAAGCTACAGACATCCAAGCTGCAATGCCTTTCCCAGTGGCAGAAGCAAGAAAAGATGAGTACTGGTGGAAATTAGCCCCTAAGGCAGCTGAAGTTGAGTCCCTTACCCCAATTCCCAGATAATGGAAAGGGTCTCGAGCAAGCTGGCAAGGGTGGACTGGATGTGGGACTGGGCACAAGCCAGGCTCCCAAAGCCCCAGATGGAATCCCTGGGGAGTGCAATAGAGCATCTGAGGGAGGATTTTGACCTGACCAACCTTCATGATGAGGGGCCATCATGCCACCTAAAAGAGAGGGGAGGGACATCTGATCCTGTTGAAGGGAGGAGATGCAGATTGGAGCGCAGCCCCCCTCCTCCACCCAATAGAAGGAGGAGAGCCCCCCAACTGCAAGACATAGATGACTTCTTGCCACTGCTAGAGGCCAGATTTGAGGAAGTGGAGGAGGACCCATATGTGGAAGAAGAACTCAGCAACCTAAAGCAGAGGGGCTGCCCCATCAAAGAGCACATAGATGAATTTAGGAGGGTCATTGGAAGGCTACCCCCTTTATCAGAGTGGCTGCTGGTGCATTTTTTTCAGAATAAGCCTTGGCAAGCAAATTGCCCATGTAACCAAATACCGCAACATCCCAAATTGACTCTCTGAAGGGTTCCAAGAAGCAACAAAAGTCGACAGTGGGCTGCATGCCAACAACATGAGAAAGCAACCGGACATGAAAGAGAGAGGTCAACCTGACCTGAAACCACCCAGCTGACAGGGAACCATAGCATCACAGCAGGCCCTGAGACCAGGCCTCCCTCGAAGTCCACTGAGATGCTACAGATGCGAGGGGATGGGCCATGTGGCATCTGTGTGCTCAACCCCAACCCCAAAACCAAGGCCAGACCCACCACCCAGGGCACGACCAGAACGAGGCCCCAAACGGGTCACCAACACATCCTGGAAAGCCCTTTAGGCTGCAGAGGCCCCTTCCTCCTCAGGCAAAAGGGGTGGAATCCCAGGCAACAATGACCTATGAGGGACAAAATAACCCAATGGTGAGTGAACCAATTCAGCCTTTCCTTTTCCCAATACGCCTTACAGCCCCAAAAACAGGAAACCAGGAGGATTTTCAAGCCTTAATATACTCAGGCTGCACTAGCTGCTTGATCAACCTAACCACGGTCCTGAAACTGGGGATCAGAACAAAAAGACTGGCCCACCTGATTTAGTTCAAACAGGTCAACGGGTCCC